GGTCAAGGATCAGAGACGTTAAATAGCTTGTCCAAAGACCTAGGTCTCCCTGACTTGGAAATCAACATATGGTTCCCCCACTCCACCTGGATTTCTATGTCACCTACTTAGGTATCCAGTTATGGATACTAGAAGAGAAATTTTCCCAATGATTAGAGGGAAGGACTATAAATGGAGTTGAGTTCACAAAGCACAAGAACCAGACTTGGAATCGGTCATTTCTTTAAGTAGTCCTTTTTTTTTTTTTTTTTTTCAGTGAGGAAATATCCTTGAGAGGCTATATCCTGAGTGCTCATTGTTACTGGGTTGTCATTGCACTTGTAGGGGTAGAGGCTAAGAAATACACAATTTTTGTTAAGAAAAAATCATGATTTTATGTCACATAAATTATAATTCAAATATAAGATTTAAATCTTTAATATAATCTTTTGATTTTATTTAACTATTTTCTGCTGAAAATTTTGATTCTTATGTATTTTTTCCTCCACTGCTTATATTTTTATTTTGAAAAACTTCAGACTTACATGTAAGAATATACCTGTACACCTACCCCACTGATCCACCAAAGTAATCATTTTGTTTTACTTTCGGCTCATTTGAGAGAAAGTTGTAGGCATCATGACATTTCAGTTCTAAGTACTTCAGAATGTATCTCCTAAGGATACAGCATTTGTCACACTCAGAAAAGCAACACTAATACAATTCTTCTAAAAATTGCTCTGAGGAGGGATACTAGTCACAGCACTTTTCAATGGCTTGTATCTTTCGTTTGGGCAACAATAATGCCTCGCATCTTTGAAATAAATATTCTACACAGTGCAAATATTTTATACAAGCAATACGTGTATTTCATAAAAATTAAAACGTTAATAAGTATTTATAACAAAATGCACTTATTTTTCACCAGTTCCCATTTCCCATTTTCAGCTCTGCTCCTTTTCTGAAGGAGAACATTCAAAATGCTGAACTGGAGGTACAAACACATCTACTTTTGACTTAATTTTAAATGTTATTGTCTCTTATGATGAGGATTTAGTAACTACCACCTACCATAGACTAAATGGTTATATTTCCCCGCCCCCACCCCAACTAAGGTTAAAATGGAAAGCCCTCAATGTGATGACATTTGGAGGTGAGACATTTGGGAGGCAATTTGGTCATGAGAATGGAGCCCTTAGGATGAGCTTCTAGAAGTGACCCCAGAGAACATCATTACTGCTCTGCGATGTGAGGACACAGTAGGAAGATGACTATTTGTGAACCAAGATATTTGGCCAAATATTATAAATCTTTCTGTGAAAGTTATTTTTAAATTTTTATGAGATTAACATTTGTTTTGTTATTAGTTTATAAGATGATCAGTCAGATACAGCCGCAAGAAGATACAGAAGTGAGGAGAATGAAACAAAAATTATTTCATTCACAGATGAAAGGTGTGGCACAACACAGAGAACCACATGAGAAAGACATGAGGGTGGGCAGGAGGGAGAAGACAAGAGTGAAAAAAGGTTGAGGCCAAAACTTTGCTGGGGTTTCCTCAGGAAGGCCAAGACTGTGCAAAATGGGCAGATTAGGATTGGCTAGTTAGAGTAATTTCAATGGACTCTGAACTCCAAGAGTTATTTTAATTGCCTGGCACCTGGTCCTGGAATGATTATTGCAGAGAAATATTGCCTTTTTAGTTGCATAAGTCCATAGAGGAGATATGGTGCTGCATAGGTTAGAAATGCTTTTAGCTGAGTCCTTTGCTACCTCTAAGAATTGGCACTAGCGGCGTCTCTCCACAGTCTGAAAGGTTTTATTTTTTTTCCTGTAATGCCAAAACATCATAATATATAGAAAATACTATACATACAGTACAACACTTAAATTGGTGAACTTTGGTTAAACCAGATTACTGACAGTGAGTGAGTGGAACAAAGTAATGACAGCAATTGCAGCTACCATGCCAAGAGTGATTTCCTTGCTTGAACAGAATAACACGTCCTTTGGTACCTACTTTATAACTACTGGAAATTATTTTTTTCCCACCATCCCTGTTAATTACAACCACCAGAAATAGTTTGTTTTCAGCTGGCCAGACCAGCCATACACCTTTACAGTCTTATCTCAGAAGTATATCAACTCTCCAACTTTGTGATAATTTATTCACAAGGATCTTGATTAACTTTCTGTTTCGCAGGCTATCACACTGATCCACTACATTGATGGAATTATGCTGATTAGACCTAGTGAGTGATAAGTAGCAACCATTGTAGACTTATTGATAGAGGACTTACATGTCGGAGGATGGAAAATAAAATTTCAGGGACCTTCTGTCTCACTGAAATTTCTAGGAGTCCAGTGGGGCATGTTGAAATTTCTTTTCTTTTTTGTTTTTATTTTTATTTTAATTTGCTATAGAGGGCATGCACTTGCAGGAGAAAAAGAGAAAGAGAGTGAGAGAGAGAGAGAGAGAAAGTGATAAGTCACCCACTGGGGGGAATGACCTTGTCACATTCCCTTTTCCTCTCAGGATTTTGGGTATGCAACCACATGCATCCAATTTGATTTTCAAGCTGCTGGGTCCAGAACTTGAATTATGAAGTCAACCATGTGGGATCCAGCCTACTTAACCTCCATTCCACCTGCTGGCTTGAATGTCTTTTCTAAAGTGAAAGATAAGCTGTTGCAGCTGTCCCTTCTATAGCCAAGATGAAGGAACAAAGTCTAGTGAGTCTCCTTGAATTTTAAAGGCAATATATTCCTTATTCGGGTGTGGTACTCTGGCCCATTTACAAATAATCTGAAAGGCTGTTAGTTTTTTTTTTTTTTTTTTGAGAGTTTTTTGCTATGGGGTGCATGCGCCGCCAAAAAGACAGAGACTGAGAGTCAGAAAGCGAGAAGTCATTCCACAGGGGGAATGGCCATGCTGCAATCCCTTCTCCATTCTCCTCTCGGGATCTTGGGCACTCATGGACACGTGCCCAGCATGAGTTTAAGCCACTAGGTCCAGGACTCAAACCGCAGTCGGCTACATGGGAGTCCAGCGACATAGCCATTACGCCAACTGCTGGTCCCAAAAGCTGCTAGTTTTGAGCAGGGCCCAGAATAAGAGAAAGTTCTGGGCTACTGTGTAGACTGCTTTGTTGTTTGGGTAATATGGTCCAGAAGACCCAAGGGTGCCTGAAGTGCCAGTGGGAGACAGGGATGTTGTTCTGAGCTTTTGTCAGAACTCCACAGGTGAAAAGCAGCATATGTCCTTAGGAATTTGACCAAACAGCTGTCATCATCTGTAGGTAACTACTATTCTTTTAAGGAACAGTTTCTGGTCTGTTATTGGACCTTAGTAGAGAATAAAATGCTTGACAGTGAACCACCAATTTACCATACAACTTGAGTCGCCTGTGGTAAACTGAATGTTATCTGATCCATCAAGCCACAACATTGACTGTGGGGTAGAATAGTTTAGAAGAATTATGCTAGTTGTTCTGGTCTTGAGCCTGCTGGTTTTGGTGAGAGTGTTGTTGGTAGCTTACCATTTCCATTCTGAGATAATAAGTAGTCCTTTCTTACATGAATAGGGATGCATAAAAACATGCTTTTTGTCAGCTGAAGAGCTGGGAAGAATAGGGCAAATTATCCCAATCTTGTAAACAAGAATGTGAGGTGAACACATAGATGTTATATATATATTTATTTATTTATTTTTCACCTTAAGAATTAGATCTTTGGAAAACTGAAGCACTGGCTCTACTAAATGGGAAGGTGTTCAGGGAATTTGTCTTTGACTTAGTGTCCAGAAAAATGCTACCAGGCAGGACTTAAATGTTTCAAAGATGGGAGTTGACTGTATGCCTGAGATTTCTTGTCACAGTAGAACAATCCTGGATATTTTCTTACATCTTCAGGGGATGAGAGAGACCTAGGTGCACCATAATAAAAACCATATACACTTGTGTCTAGGTTACTGAGAGGGCCTGAGCAGAGGTGATGTTCACCACCTAAACCAGCATGTCACTTAGCCTTTGCCTCTTAGAAGAGGGATATTATGGCTAAATCTATCACTGCAACTCGGGGCCAAAAAAAAAAAAAATCATAATGGTTGATTTTCATTTGTGCTTGTAATTTCTAGAAATGCAAACTGAAATTATTGTTGTCAGTTTAAGGAGACAATGGCACCCTATGCATCATCAATAGTAGTAAGAGTTCCCTTTGCAGAGGTGTGAGCTGCTAAGTTGCTGCACTCTGCAGGCCAAGACCAAATGTGAGACTCAGTTTAGATTCTTGGTCGAGCCTAAAGAATGGATATGGTGGTGCACACCTGCAATACCAGTGACTCAGAAGGCAGAGGCAGGAGGATTGTCAGTGTAACCTTGTTTAAAAAAAAAAAAAAGAAAGAAAGAAAAGGAAAAATAGGTGTAAAAGATTTATGAGGGAAAAGGGAGGAGGGAGATGACCCATTTTCCTCTACCAGTGGGTTTCTGTGGGCCTCTCAGTGTGAAAGGAATCAAAGCAGACCTGACTGGGTCATATATGATACTTCTGTGAGTGAAATGTAGGAAGGTTATGTAATTGTAATGGAATAAAAATGGTGTTCTTAGAAGACAAAAAATTAGCTGAACTATTCTTATGGTCATGATGGAAGTTCTCAAATGCTAAGGTGAACCAACATACTGCCCTAAGCCCAGAAAGGGGAATAGACAGCAAGTTCAGGTCTCTGAGGATGGAGTACTTTACTGAGTAGACTTGGAGGCCCCTAACTTGGGGTGTGCCTCTGACACAGCCATGTAGGTCCTGAAGCTCTGCCTACTTGCCTCATCACATATGCCCGATTTCATGTGTATCCTCTACATCACTTGCATGTTGAGTTAGGACTACACAAGTCCTAGCCATCACTTTCCAGTACCAGGAAGACTTGTGGTCTCACATTCTAGCCCCTGTACCCTAACACCAATATTTTCTTAACATCTTCCAAATTGTAGTGCATAATTGATTTTTGTCTGAAGGAGGTATGCTTGAAAAAAATTTGCATTTATTAAAACAATGATTACAAATATTTCACTTGACTTCTACATTCTTTCTTCCAATCACTGCTTTCTCTTGCAGCACTTGGCCTTCCCACCATAACAGGTGCCTTCAATTTTGGTATAGCTTGGACAAGAGGAGTAGAGACATATTCCTTCATTTTTGACGCATAGATAATGATCAGATCTGTGGCCCAGACCTGTAAGGCTCATACCTGCAATGACACCTGTAAGGAGGAAATGAAAACACTCAGATTCATGGGAAGTAGTTGCAATGATTTTAGAACATTTGGTGAAAGCAGGACAAACAATCCTGCAAAGCACTTGGGAGAGTTTTTCTTCCAAGATTTGCATACTATTGATCTTTGGGAGTGCTAATGACATAGGGCTAAATGAAAAGCTCACTCATCAAAGGGCTTTGTTGACTGTGACCAAACACATGGCTAAGGATGAATAGCCAGGTTATGAGTAGTGGTTTCTTCTGCCCAGAGTCCTTAAGGTGTGCAGCAAATTCAAATGACTCTCCCAGATAAATTTTTTGCCCCATTTATCATACCCCCAACTTACATTCTTTATCTTAGGAATGCTGAAGTAGGTGCCAATCTGTGAGCACATCCTAAATTTTTCTCACTCCTATGCCTTTAATTATACTGCTTCCTCTGCCTTGAATCACAGCTCTCCCACTTTCTACATCATTATTTCTGTTGCAGTCTATGGTCCTTTAATATCAGGCTAAAATTATGGTTACCCTATAAAGTTTTCATAGTTTTCTCCTGGAGTTTATTCTGTCCTCCTCCTTTAATCTCATAATTAGAAGGTATCCTACACTAGACTTCTACTTCTAGGAGAGAACAAAGTTGCTAATACTCCTGGTGAGTGACTGAAGCCATTGTTCAGCATGCTTTCATTGGTAGTTGTTATGTACTGAACTGTGTCCCTTCAAAATTCTTATGTTGAAGCCCTAGCTCCCGGTACCTCAGAATATGACGATATTTGGAAACAGAAACTTTAAAGAGGTAATTATATTTAATGAGGCCTTTGGGCCCTATTTCAAATGTTCTATGACAGGGATTCTTATAAGAAGAGATTAGGACAGACACACACAGAGGAAAGATGATTTGAGGACACAGGGAGATGGCAAGCATCTACAAGCCAAGGAGAGAGACCACGTGAGAAGCCAACCCTGCTGGCACCTCTATCTTAGACTCCTAACCTCCAGAATTTTGAGAAAATAAATGTCTATTGTTGTTTAAGGCACCCAGTCTGTGGTATCCTGTTACACAGTCCAAGCAGACTGATACAATGGGCCATCACCACCTGAGGAGAAAGCGCTTTCCAATGTCACGTATCTCTGCTTGCTAAAAAGATGGTTTTTATACTGATTGAAATCCTTCTCGCCACTATTTCCATCAAGTGGCTCTTTCTGTACTTTTTGCAGTTATATCTAAGTACTCTTTCCGAAGGCAACCCTATTTTCAGTAATTCTACATTCTAAAAACCTCTTATTTTTTTTCATTTTTCTCAATGCTTCACTTCCAGGTCCTTCTCAATCCTGTCCCTTCTCTAGATGTGTTCAACTTTGTCAATTTACTTCCTAAAATCTGAGGCCTGTCATAAATACAAACTACCTTACCTAGGTTTCACCAAAAACAAAAGCCGGTGTTTTAACATTTTCATTGGTAGGTGTTATGTATTAAATTGTGTCCCTTCAAAATTCTTATGTTGGGAACCAGCAGTTAGTGTAATAGTTATGTCGCTGGACTCCCACGTAGTCGACTGCAGTTCGCGTCCCGGACCTGGTGGCTTAAAACTCACGCTGGGCGTGTGTGTGTGTGTGTGTGTGTGTGTGTGCCCAAGATCCCGAGAGGAGAATGGAGGAGAAGGGATTGCGGTGTGACCGTCCCCCCTGGGGGGTGCTCTCTCCCTTTCTGTCTCTATGTCTCTCTCTGTCTGTCTGGCAAGTGCACGCGCCCTATAGCAAAAACCTCTCAAAAAAAAAAATCTTATGTTGAAGCCCTAACCCTTGCTACCTCAGAATATGATTTTATTTGGAGACAGATATGGAAACTTTCTATTTACTATAGAGCTATGCTTTCCCATATGTTAGCCACTAGCTACTTGTGACTTCACATTTAAACGAATTGAAATGATAGTAGCCATATCATAAGGGCTCAGTAGCCACAGATGGCTAGTGATTCCTTTGTCAGTGCAGATAGAGAACATTTCTATTACAATAGACCATTCTATTAGACTGTATTGCCATGGAGCTGAAGAAGAATTGAGACAGTCTAGTTTCATCATCTCATTACTTAGGGAAGCATCTTAGGCCAGGTCCACTGAGTTACTCACATAAAACACAGTATCCTGATCTCCAGCTCACGTTCTTTCCCTAAGTCTATTGAGTCTCATGATGCCATCCATGATTGGATTGCGTTTTAATAGCCTCAGCACAATGTTGATGACAAGTAAGACCATGACCAACTAGATTCTCCAAAAGTCTCCAGTTCTAGCTTTTGTCTCCCTTCATTAAGAGCTTCCAGGGCTGGATGGGTACATAGAGGATGCTTAACCCAACACCTGATGCAAGACAGAATCCCTCCAAGTGATTTTCTATTGCTAGGAAGATCAATTGTGCTAATATATTTGACAGTACTTTGAAATCATGAAGGTCTATACTTCCTTTCTTTTATCATTTTTCTCAATAATCAAATTATCTGAATATGTGTGTTTATATGTCTGTGTGTGTGTATGTGTGTGTGTGTGTGTGTGTATGTGTGTGTTTGATGATACTCATTATCCTGGTGTGTGTGTATACATATATAAAACAACTATTATCATTTCTCTTTAACACTGTATTTGCAGAAATAGTTAGGGGAATAGATAAAACAGCAAATAAACAAAGGTCTAAGGGTTAGAAAGGAAGAAATAACATTGTCACTATTTGTAAATACTGCAAATAGACAGTCCAAAAGGAAATAAGCAAGTCAGTTTAGCAAGTTTGCTGTGTATAAGATCAATGTACAAAGAAAAAAAATCAATTCTACTTCTGTAGAAGAATTCTTCAAAAGGTTCACGGAAAAATGGAATTAAAATACAAATTTATTTTGGTGCCAAAACATTTTGTGATTCATGCATAGTTCTTCATAATGCACATTTCCATAGGTTTTCTGAAGGTCCCTCAGATATTGTCAACCAACAGCAAAAATAATATTAAAATAAAACACCAAGAGCTAGACGACTTTGGAGTGGTAAAACACAACACTCTGCAAGGTTGACTCACACTGGAAAGTTCTCAGTTCTAATTGGAGACCTTCCTGAGTACACTGGACATTTATGCACCCATGATCTGAGACTGGTTGAAACTGAGCATGAATCCTTAAGTCAAGACCCTGTTGGAGGTGCTGTTTCTGTCTGTCTCTCTGTCTCTTTTTTGTTACTCATGGAGGAAATGAATAAATAAACTTAAAACAAAATAAAAGCACCCATCAGAAGCACATAAAGTATCCAGGTCATAATTATAAATCTAAGAAAATATGTGCAATACTTTTATTCATAAGGCATTAAATTTTTGAAATAAATTTAAGAAGATCTAAATAAATAGAAATGCTATGTATAAACATTTGAAGATTTGAAAATAAAAGTTAGTTTTCCACACACTAATCTTCAGATTCAGCTGAATACTCTGAAAATCTCAAAAGGTTCTTTTAGTGCAATTTGTCAACCTGATTCTAAAATTTATGTGTAAACTCAAAGGGCCAAGAATGGCCAAGAAACTCTTGGAGAAGAAGGTGGGAGGACTGGCTTTCCTGGATTTCAAGATTAAATATAGAGCTGCTGCAATTAAGGCACAAGAATAGACATAAATAAAGATGGAACAGAGTGAAGAGTGTAGAAAGAGACCCATGCATATACGGAGAATTGACTTATAACGGTGATGGATCAGCAAAACAGTGAGGAAAAATCATCCTTTTAGTAGTTGGTTCTGGGACAACTGGATATTTGTATTGGGGGGAAAAACTCTTGACCCTTACTGCATACTACACATACACACACACACACACTAAAAACCATTGCCATGGATTATAAGAACAAATGTAAAAAGAGAATAAATAAGTTTTTCACAAACAATATTGGAGGCTGTCTTCATAACTATGGGCTAGGAAAGATTTTTAAGCAAAATATGAATAGCATTTAACTGAAGAGAAAATATATGACACACTTAATTACATTAAATAATGATTAAAAACTTCTGTCTAAGGAGCGAAAAGTGAAGACACAAAGTGAGAGAACATATTTGTAATGCATATAACTGACAAAGGGCCCATATGCAGAATAGGTAAAGAACTACCATATATTAATAAAAAAGGCAGATAATCTAATAGAAATTATGGGCACAAGACAAGCATTTCACAAAATATATCCAAGTGGCCAGTAAATACAAACAGACATGTTCAATGAAATATTTATCAGGGAAATGCAAATTAAAACACCAATGAGGTACCACTATACTCACTAGATGGCTAAAATTCAAAGCATTATCAATGCTTTTATCAAGGAAATGAAGCAATGGAAACTTTCATTGGCTGATTGTGACAACATTAGTGTAAAAAATTGAAAACCAGTTTGGCATCATCTATTAAAATTGAGTATGTGTTGGCCCAGCTTGTGGCCTTTCTTGCCTTTTCTCTCTCTGGCAAGCACATGCAACCTCTATCAGATTAAAACAAAATTTGAATATATGCATATCCTATGACCCAGCAATCTACCTTTTTAGGATATAGAAATAGAAGCATATAGCTATTTCATGGCCAATAGAAATATGTGCACAAACCAATCCATGTTATTTGATGTAAACATTAATGTGGTAAGAGTATTAAAAATGTAGGAAGTTATTGCCATAAAAGTCAAAGGAGTGAATACCCTTAGGGACAGGAGTTACTTATGATGGGGAAGGTTCCAAGAGGGCTCCTCAGGTGCCAGTGAAGTCTTATTTCTTTTACTTTCTTTATTTTTTCCATTCTTTCTCTTCCTTCCTTCCTTCCTTCCTTCCTTCCTTCCTTCCTTCCTTCCTTCCTTCCCTCTCTCTCTCTCTCTCTTTCTTTCTTTTTTTTCTTTTTTGTTGTTAAGAGGATACATGTGCTTGCCAAAAAGAGACGGGGGCAGGGGGTGAAGAAAGCACTCCAAAATTGAGTGCAGTCATGCCACAATCCCTCCTTCTTCATCCTGT